AGCCTATACAGCTTGGAGTAAGACAACATGCATGAAGAGGATGATGTGGACAAAATACTCATTTGCCTAATAATTCTGCACTCCCTGTAATACTGAAATGAGGAAATGGAGGAGCAGTCACGGAAACTGTCAGTGTTAAAACAGACAAACTGTCAGCACTGACCTGACAGCCGCTGCGTCCGGGACCTTCAGCAGGCTGATAGTCACTTTACCACCTTCCTCCACATCTATATGGTGTTGAGCTGGTTTCACCGTCAGAAGGTCCGGAGCCGTTCGGATGGAGACCTGCTGCTGGAGGCCGCCAGCACTATTCCCTCGGCTCATTAGCACAAACGAATAATCAGTGTCTGGCTGCAGCTGTGTGATCAGCTTCCTTTTCAGGTTGCCTTGAACCTCCACACTCTGCTGGTTGTACAGAATCTACAGCAGGATGGAGTTATAGAGGTTAATGTACACCTTGCACTACTGTAATAATTAACACTGTGATGTCTGTCACCAATATCCAGCTCTCTGTTTTACCCAAAACAACCAGTTTTCTGCCTGCATGAAAGAGAGCGCTGAGCTTACCTTGACAGGCACTTGAGATTTGTATGTTTCTGGCACTTCCCAGGTCAGCAGGACCGAGGTCTTTGTCACAGCCTTCACACCAAAGTTCTTGGTAAACACTGAGGGAAGATCTGGATGATTATTAGGTGGTTAATTTGATTGTGAATATGACTGAGATGATTCAGTGCTGATGAGGAGGTGCAAGAAACGCAAGACAGTTACGGGGAACACTACCAGATAGATCTCGGCACAGTTTTTATGATTTTACTCTATAAAAGCACAAACAGGTGTTTGGCAATAACAAACGACCAAAAACTGCTGTTTCTCTAATGTCCACTTAAGCCTGCCACTACATTTTTATACAACTCACTTGTTTCATTTGTATTAAGGATAAACTGTACATTATCAGTGGCATGAAAACGTTTACATGTGTGCAGCTGACAGATGTCTGCTCGATTAATGCCAGCTTGCAGTTTTGATAACTTTAATTGGAATTTTAATGCAATTATCTGAAAAACAATATTGCTTGCTGTGCATGTAATTGTACTAACAGTCAAGAAAGCTTGTGCTCCAATTAGTGACTTATGCTAATCAGCAGGTAACTACATGATGCACCAACAGAATCCAGGCTTATGCCTCATATCCAAATATTATCGAATAACTATCATAGCAGTGAGCCAAGATGACATGACACACATGGACTATGTAGGAAACTGTAAACAAACATAAATGATATAAATATAAATGAGTTTTTTCATATTTAAAATTCCTCGCGTGCGTTAGTGACACTTGTCAATATCATAACCAGCTTCATGAGGTTTTCATCTCAAAAGGTTTCCAATGAAAAGATCATTGTAATAAATAACACACAGGACTTAAGTGTATGTTTAACTGTTTCCAGATGGTATGCTATAATGAGGTCTAACTCAGTGAACTAAGGGGATTTAATAGTGTGAGACTCACACACACTCACAGGAACTAGCTGCTTGCTTCCTGCATCAAATATGGCCAGAAAGTCCTTGTTTAACATCTCTAGAGAAGAATCCTACAGGGCTGCAGTTTGCAAATGCCAGCTAGAGGCAATGGTTATTAAATAAATAAAAACTCTCCAAGTTGTCAGTGGAGTAAAGTCACTTGTGACTCTACTTACTGTCTAAACTCGTTTTAATTTTCACTTTGAATCTTACAAAGTTACTCTAGTAAAACCCAGGAATAAAGGGTAGAAACTGAACATAATTTGTTTCCCTGATGAAGTTCTGCTACGTTTCTTTGAGTTATGTAGCGGACAGAACTAAATAATACTGGGACTAGCCTCACCCTCCTTTCAGTTTCATCTTGTTCTCAAGTTATTGCATTCACACGATTTTCAGAAACTTGCTCTGACTTTGAGGTCGAGATCACTGAGATTTTTAGTAGCTGCACCTAAGCCTGTGGTTCTCACCTGGCATGGAGGTGGACATGGTCCTGCTCTGGATGCTGGGGCTGATAGGTCCTCCGCCCTTGCTGCTGAAAGCTTGGACTCTTATGTCATAGGTTGTGTCAGGCTGCAAACCGTAGACGGTGAGCTGTGTATCTGTGGTAACGTTGGTGCTGTTGTTCGGGCTGTTAATGTCTCGGTACATCACCACATACTTCACAATCTTCCCATTTCTTTCAGCCAGAGGAGGCGGGTCCCAGGCCAGTTTGGTGGAAGTTGCAGTAAGGCCGACCACGCTCAGGTTTTGCGGGTAGCTGCTGGGAATGTCCTCAGGGGTGCTGATCTCTTTTACATACTCCTCCCCGTTCCCTGCTCTGTTTTTGGCACACAGTTTGAAGATGTACACGGCACCCTTGTGGAGGCCGGTGACTGTGAAATGATCATCTGTCTTCTTGAAGTGTTTAATGGTGAAAGCTTCCTCCTCTGCTCTCTTGTACTGCAGCTGGTATCCCATGTGCTCCCCAACCATTTCTTTAGGGGGCTGCCACTGGATTAGAGCGGTGTTCCCGATGGTGGTGCTGATCATCATAGTGGGCTTTCCAGGAACTGCGATGCAGGAAACATTTGTAAATATTCAGCACTAAAAGACACATTTAGATATGATCTAGCTTATTTTCTTAGCTGGTTGGAAGGTATAGGACCTGTTTTTGAGATTATCATAAAGGCCACACTACTTTTTATTATCAGAAGAACAAAGACTGTTATTCAGACTAGCTTTTGAGTCTAAAAAGCTCTTTCAACCTGTGTTTTTGTGTGTGTGTGTGGGGCGGGGTTCCTAATGACCAGCAGGGGGCAACTCTTCTGGCTCCAAAAGAAGTCAAAGTTGCAAAGACGTCTGTTTGCAAAATTCATTTTTCTGATGTGTAAAGTATGGTGGAGTGAAACAGACAAAGTAAGGAATGCTTTTCAGAGGGGCTTTGTGTGCAGTGCTGTTGGACTCTTAGTACAATCTGCTCATTGCTAATGACATCTGGTTTAACCTGTTAGCAGTCGGACGTACCGCCCACGGTACATTGGATGGTTTAGGGGACTAATTGTAAATTTGTAGGACTGCTAAGGGGTTAAAAAACAAGACCTGCTTCTCAGTATACTTGGGTTTACTTTTGTTCTTGTGAAATATCATCTGTCAATTCCAACTCAAAGAAGTCGAGTATGCTACAAATGCCTCTGTGTGTACTTGCCCCGCCCGTTCTATCGAGGATGTAATGAGTGTTGACTTGTGTTGACTTGGGGCAGCCAAGTATTCTAGAGTACATTTTGAGGAAAACTCAAAAGCAACAGTGTGAGCACCCAAAGTTGTGAGTTAAGTTTAGAAATGTTACTGTTTCTGTGACAAAAAGCAAGATTTCAAGATCTTTTATATAAGAATGCAGCTGTTTGCCTATTTGCAAAACCGTGTAAGAAGCTCTTTCAGGATGATACCGAGCTAAACGTAAAATGGAGCCAACATTAGCTCATATTATCAGACAAACAGAAAAAATCAGACTACGCAGGACTAAAAAAAACTCCTGAAAGGTATTAAATGGAGACATATTAGAAAACAAGCAGGAATGTGATCAAGATATGGCCTCAGATTTGTTGTATTAGTTGTATGCAACACACACACCTGCTCCTGTGGTGGTGGCCACCTTGGCCTTGCTGCGAGCTCCGTCACCCTTGGTAGTATATGCAGCCACAGTCACAGAATAGGTTGTTTCTGGGAGCAGACCTGCTATAAAGGCCTCCTGCTCAGCACAGAGACACGGGGAAGAAAAGAGGAGGAGGAAGAGAAACGGAGACAAAGATGAAGAGAGGATGGAAAAAACAGACGAAAGGGCAACAAAATTCAAGTTGAGACAACAGCTTCAGTTCAATTGGCAGAAAATTTAGTGCACTGAGCGACTGAAGCACACAACACATGCATCAGCTTCACATTTCCACCACTCAAGGTATTCTGACATTTCCACACCACCCAAACACCAACCTGTTCACAACACTCCAGTATACCATCACTGCACATCAGCACCGAGTGCTACAAAAGGCTTTTGGAAACGAAGGTTCTTCAGAGATTGTTCCCCGTTTGATTATCTGTTTTTCTTTTATTTCTATTATTCTTTAACTGGTAACTGCACAGATGCAGATTATGGACGTTGAATCCAGAATCCCGATCTTCTCTTTGAAGAAACAAGTCATGAGAAGATAATGAAAACATACCTGCTGTTTGTCCAGTTAGATAATTCAAACTAGAACATAAAACCATTTTGTTAGTAGGTCCACCTAACCAGTGAGTGACAGCAATAAAAGAACGAGGCAGTCAATGAGCACAACAACAGGGACAAGCGATGGTCTCCTGGCTGATTACTCAGTGACCACCAACCACCATCAACCTCCGGCTTTCTAGCGATCTGATACGACAGCGTTATTTCTTGGTGTCCGATCCTGCATCAAGGAGCCAAAGCCAAAAGACACCCTGCATATAAAAGCAAAACACAGATGGCGTCTGACAAAAGTGCGCTACGTAACACGATGCTGATGCTGCACTGCTCAGCCTGTTCATCTCACACCATACTCAGACTTGAAGATGCTGACGCTCAACCCAGCTGCAAAGCCCCACATCACATACAGAAGGTCACCTTCTGTCAAAGCCAACAAAACCATATCATTTACAAAAAGCAAGGGTGCGACTGTGTGGTTCAAATCACAGACAACGAAAACATCCCCTGAAAATGTGGAGGACTTAGTGCCAAGGACCTGAACACAGCTCTCACTTTGTTTTACGAGGATCTGATGCCTTCCAGTAATCTACCCACAGAACATAAGCCTTCTCCAAGTATACAAAGCAGTCACTGTCAGCAACATTAAACTCAAATGTGTTTTATGATAAAGACCTCTCAAAGAAACTTGTCTCAGGAGAATCTCTGCCATGCACATTAGGCTACATGTTCGAACGTGCTCGTCCAGCCGCGTTAATATAGCCACATGTACGGCCTGTCAACTGCCGCGAGTCCATTAAGAGGCACGAAAAAGGTCCACTTTTCTCAGATAGCAGAGGACTGCTTTCTACTCCTGAGTGCTGAGTGGAGCAGAGCTGCAGAGATGAAGGAGCGTGTGATGAGAGAAAAATGGCAGCAGGAAAGTGGTGTAGCTGCGAGTGTGTGCGGGGGTTGATAGTTCCAGTAAAGAATGCCCAGTGGGTTCCATTTTGCCCATCATGACCGTGCCTCTGCCTACAGCCCAGGGGCTGCTGAGCCACGGAGATGTCACTGCAAATTAGCAAAGCGCTGCCAAAGGAAAAGGGGGGATGTTCCAGAAACAACCACCACTCTAATTATTATTCTGTGGCAGGCAGTTTAATATCTACCACTGGATATTTAAAAGGGGTGTCTTCTGCTAATTTAAGAGCAGAGACGTACAAAACTGAATTCAGCCGGGGCGTAAAGAGTTAAGATGTTTCCCTCCTTCCTGTGTTCTCTGCAGGGCAAAGAAGGTGAAAGATGAGAGAGAAATGCGACTCATGTGAAGCTACTGAAGTCCTCTAAAAGCCTCATTATTTTAATCTGCTGCTATTCCTTTCCACTTTTGTTGCCAGAGATTTTCTTGCTTTTGAAATGGGGAGAAAAAAAATCAAATTGGTCTTTCATCTGTCTTTCAAACGCAGTGCGAGCAGGAGTCTGCAGGGATGAATTCCCAGGGACTGAACAGATGATACGCTTTACATTAAGACATGAGACATCTCTGCTATGAGGGGAACGTCTGCTTTAACGGGAGCCAATCAATCGGCAGTGACTTCCTGTGTGTCAGACATCAAACGCTGCTGTCCTCCACCTCCTTGTCTTTTCAACCTCCATCACCAGTGGGGGAGATTCCACTAATGTTGGGAACAAATCCACTACAAAAGCGCATTAGCAGTTCGCACACTGCGCGGATTCTTCCTCACATGAAGAGGGAAGGACACTTGTGCCTGATATTTCAGTGGATGCTGGAGACCCTTCAACAACACCCACAGTCAGCATGTTACATTTAGGAATTTGATCAATTTGATGCTTTAGATGGCAGCTAGGGAAGCTGGGCTAACAGTCTGCAAGCTTGTTAGCCATGGCTCTGGAAGCATACAGCTAGACCTTTGTTCAAGGGCTGGGCTTCCTTACCCAATTTAAACTGGACATATTCCTCTTTGTTCTAGCAGTGGATGCTCATTAGACATGGCCAAAGTTTCCAATAAGGACATTTGTACAAGTAATCGCTGTGAGATAAAAGGTCAGGCTTCACACGGCTTTTTTTTTCTGTGTGTTGTCAAAGAGAGAGATCTCTTATGTGGTCATCAAGACGCTCTACTGCTCAAACCTTATGCAGCCAAACAGAAGAATGTGGGCTTAGAGTTGGGGGGGGACAGACACAAGAACTAAAATTTGAAGCTGGGAATGAAAGTCCCTTCAAGCAATAGCCTTTCTGGCCACTCTCCGTTTAAGTATTGTGTAGGTTGCATTATTTATTACCCACAGTTTTCTGTCTCCAGCACATTTATCCGTCCACTATCATTAGCCACCTGTGCTGGACTGACGTATTGAACCGTTGCAGAGGGAAACTTGTGCTCAACAGTAAATGCACAAAGTATTTCTTTTGCTGGAGCATTATAAGGTGTTCGTGTTGGGGTTTAATCTCTTAGAGAAACGACTCTGGGTTAATTGTGTAGAGTTTGAAAGGAGTTGTTCCTCGAAATAACTGACCCATTTAAATAAAACAGGCACAGCTTACTGAATAAATAAAATATGAAGTCGAAATAATTAAAACGTTTTAGAGACTTCTTTTTTGGTTTCAATCCAGTTAAAGGGAAAACTCATGCGCTATGAAAAATTTAATGAGTGTTTCAGCTTTGCTCTTCATTACAACAGAAATTGGAAGGATGGGTCTGAAATGAGTGTTCCCCCGTGGACAGTGCCTCTCAGGGGCAGATGTGGCGAGTGGCTCTTTCCACTGTGCAGAACTATGGATGGCAGGGTCATCTGAACGACTCGTCTTCACAGTTTAACACGGTTTGGCTCTGTGTGATGTCAGCAGAGAGGACATCATATCTCTCATCTCAGACGCACAGCTCTGGCCCGACGGTCCCTCATTCTGGTCAAAGCTTCTATTTATGAGGGCTGTTAAGATATTCATTGTGTGTACTCATGTTGTACAGTGTTTAACTGCATTATGGTTACTGTGGTTTAACAGAGACAGTATTTTAGTTGCCACCACAAGGAGGCACTGTTTCATTGTAAGAGCACGGATGCTGCGTCATCACGCCCCTAAGAAAAAAAAAAAAAGTATACCACAACGAAAATGGCACCCATGAGAAAAGTTTTGCCGCATGTTGATGAGGATTCCCAAAATATTAAGGACATTTTTGCCTCCGTCGTCATTTTCCTTCGAGTTGATCGCTGTCGATGCTGCAATACTCAACAAGGGCCAATCAAGAAGAAAGCTGGCTTAAAGGCACGATAGTCTTAAAAGTACATTTTGTAATTACTCTGTGAAGCTCTGAACCAGAGCTTTCATCGCTCGGTGGCATTTTACCATTTGGTAGTTAAATATGTTTAGAAATGTGCTGCTATAGTTTTCTTTTTAATCCTCCCAACATTTCCTCAACAGCTGCTTTTTCCCCTGATATTGTAAATAAAAATGTGTTGATTCCTACAAAACAAAGCTTACAGTGACTTGAAGCGCCAACATGTGGTAGAAATTGGTATTACACAAAAGTGCTGCCTGGCCCTACAATAATACTGCATAGTTATTATTGTAGGCTTTTACTATACAAATAAAGTTGAACTGAATTAAAATGAAATTGAATACATATTTTAGATTTGCAGTGGTTCTTTCTGCACATTCTGTTGACTGTTCATAATTCTGATATGCTTGAAATTGTTTTTAATTTGAGTTTACCTGTAAAGTATTAGCAGAGAAGTAAGTACATGCTGGCAGGTAACACTAAGCAACCAATGCACTGTTTCCACAAGCGCATGCAGTCATGGCTTTTCGTTTAAATCCAAGAACCATATTTTATAAAGGTAAAAAAAACAAAGAAACAATACAAACACATAACCACAAAGAAAAAGAAGCAGAACCACCGACTGTTGTTTTCACCCTGTTATTAATAAATGTATGTCATCAATAATGTACAGGTCCACAGAAAGCAGCCGGCGTGTTCTTAAATGTGAACTTTATTTTCCTTTGCAGTCTGTGCTTGTGGAGAGCTCCACTGTAATAACTGAGCATTTAATAAGTACTTAATAGTGAACAGTAGCAATGAAGTTGAAACCTAAATTAGTTTTGTCCCAAAAAGGATCTAAAAGAATCTAAAAGGTTGCTCAATGCCGGGTTACACCGAGCCTGCTTTTGAAGAACTTCCTTCAGTTTATTGTCCATTAATTCTACTTCATTAGAAACTCACTAACAAGCTGTTAGCTCATCAATATGATGTAATATTATGAAAGGAAGCATCAACGCCGTGAAGAATAAGTGATGTCACTGTTTAGTCAGAGCACAGATGCAATACATCTGACTGTGCCTACAGTCATTTACAGTGAGTCACCAGAGCACAGGCAAGGTGCACGACTGAGAATGCAATCAAAACACATTTTCCACTTTCCCAAACTAACCACAAGAGGCTGAAAATATTTATTTCAGACAGCAGCTATTGCAGAAACAGTGTCTGCTGATTCTAGTCTCTAGTATTGTGTAGTATCAGACCTTTGTCATTTATAAA